TTTTAGCACAACTTACTGTGCGACGTCCCCACAAATTCAAGAATGTTTCCAGCACAGACAGAACGGCGGCGAGGGAAGCGCTGGCCGCTCAGGACGTGATCGCAGAGCAGAGGGGCCCCTCCTGCCACCTGCATGGGGGTCCCCGCAGGGCGCAGGGGCCCCCTGGTGGCGCAGTGGTTCCGAGTTGGGCGGCAGGCGGCGAGATCGGCAGTTGGAAACCACTGGCAGCTTCGTGGGAGAGACACTGGGCTTTACGGCCGCGAACAGTTGCGTCTTGGATCAACGGGGCTCGCTGTGAGTCAGCATGGACTCGATGGCGGGGAGCCGGTGCCCGCACCAGCCTGGATGCCGGAGCTCAGAGTCCTCCTGCATCCATTTCAAACGACCTGAGACCCACAAGAGTCAGTACTCACAACATCAAATTCTGTTTAAGCGTTTCAACTTTACCCAAACAGGAATCTGTTAAACTTTTATTTTCCCATCTTTGGTGAGAGGAGCTTGAGCAATGTTTTTTAAAATGTTAGCTTCCTGGTATTTCTCTGTGTCAGCGGAAGCCAGCCTCCAGAAGCCGAAGGGGGCCTGTAGGCGCGCTTGTAGGGCGATAATCCGTGGAGATGACAGTAAAGTCAGAGGATAGGACAGGTGGGAGGGAGAACACAACAAGGGAGTCAGACACATTTTAGGGCAGCAGGCCCCGGGCGCTCACGCCTCTTGATGGTCCATGTGGACCTGGAGACGTGAGAGCGAGCCTTTGCTGTCTTGGGGGCATTGAAGGTAGCCATAAGACCTGCATATTCAGCAGTTACATCGTCACCAGCTGGGGGTATCCACATTAAGGTCCCTGAGTTCACAGGTGAAGCGGAACACCTGCATACGGGGAAGACCTGGGGGGAGGGGGGGGTTGGGTGATTGGCGGGAAGCGAGAGCAAAAGGCAGTCTGTCTGCTTCTGGTGTTAAAGCTGGACCACGTAGCACTAAGTCATGAATTTGTAAGAGGTAACTTTCAGGTGACGCTGTTATGGGAGGGTATCGTGGGGACCGATATTAATTCTGAGAATGTGATTGGGACTCACCTCTACTCATAAGGGTGAAGGCCTCTGAGTTAATTGTGCCAACCAAAGTACCTAGACCAATACAGCCTCCGTCTACCCCAGCAGCCAGCCGGCCAGGCTTCGGAGCATCTGAAAATAAAAGCTTCATCCGTGGACACTCTCTTCCATGTCTCTAGTCCATGAGCATATCCTTCTTTTGCAGGCTTTGGAGCAAAGGCAAGTCCCACGTCTGCTGCCCACGTCTCAAATTCAGTGGAGAGGATTGCATGTCTGCAAGATCTCTCCACTCCCCAGCTCCAGTTCTCTTGAGTGTCAGGTGACTAAAGCCCCACCCTCCACTCCACAGGGACCGCCAAAGATGGAGCGATCTCCAAGTCACTTAGAGATTGGTCGGATTGCACGAAGCAAAAGTTGAGAGTCAGATGAGGAAGATCCAAGTACAGTGATGGTTTCGTGATTGTATCTTTTCATTTTAACGATGACTTGATTGGGGGCTCTTAACAGCTCTCATAACGATCCCTCCATCCATTGTATCCAGCATGTTTGCACATAGGTTGCCATCATCATTTTGTAAACATTTACTTTCTAGTTGAGCCCTTGGTATCAGCTCCTCTTTTGTCTCTCCCTCCCTACAGTGATGGTTTCCTATCTCAGCGAATTGATGCCGATGCAGCTTGAAACCCTTGACACTGGAATAGTCTCAGGCTTCATGGGTCCCAGTAGCGAAGACTTTCCTGCCTGGCAGCAGCTGGTCAATCAGGTATATTTGTAACATACAAATGTGCAGTGAAGATGCCTTTAATTCTGAACTCCATTGACTATGCAATTTTCCCAAAGGAGTAGTGGGTCCTCTCATCTCATCAGATCACTGATATACATTGCCAGTGCCTTGTCTTGTCTGAGGCGTTCATTTCGAATTTAGAAATTATATCCACGGCCCTTGGAAAGTTGTGCAGTGTTGGACGGCATTGGCAAAGTCGCTTTCTCTTCTTGGGTGGGAGCGCGTGTTGTCCCCTGGTCCCATGCAGCTTTCTGTACAGGCAGTGTGCAGCTTCACTTGTTTCACGGCCTTCAAAATGGCCCTCCACAAAGGAGAAATGGCACGAAGATGCATCATTTGTTTGCATCCA